GGCGTTTGCTTCGATCCGTTATCCCCGAGCAATCTGTATCGGCCAGGAATGCTCGGCGCGTTGCAGACCGAGTTTAAAGTCGATCGGTTAGTCGTTCGCGTTGAAAGGAACAGGGAACGTTAATCTACCGTGTGATTAATGGTAGAACTACCGAGAATTCCGTACGGTTGCCGTGTAATCTCTGCAAGAATTATAGGAATAGATTATTCCCAGCTTCTTTCCATTCATTTTCACGATCGTCTCGAACGTTCGGCGCTTCGAACGTATCAATAATCGCGAGACAAACAGATCGAAACCGGTCATTCTCACTGGAACGATAGTTCTAGTGTTAACAGGAAAAACGTCCAATACGCTTCGCGTTAAGACGCGCAGTAGGCGCGACGAAGCGATCAGCGGAGTTTTACGTAACATTCGAGCGACTTCGCGCGATGCGTGACGATTTAAGAAGGGGCTGGGCGTTGTTGGAACGATCTATATTCTCCCGTTGCGCAATTATCGGCTGCCCCTCGCGGGAAAACTCGAACTGCAGTTCCTCCTGCACCCTTTCGCCGTTAACGATCGACGACGCATCGCTGCGCTCGTTTCGCAGCTCGTTAAGATCTGTTTACACTAACCGAGAATCCCGGTTTCCGTGAGATCGGCGCCGGTCGAACGATCCGGGGCGTCGTAAACTTCGAAACGATCGTCGATCCCGCTTCCAGCCGATCTTTGACCCCCTCTCGTTACGTGCTTCGCGTTTCGCCGTTTTTCCTCGAGTTCTCGCGTTGTTGTCGGGAAACTGAACGTTTCCCAGAAAGAATATGCGCTGCGACGCGACCGGAAGCCTTCTCGTTTTCTGGACAAAACTTAACCCTTTGCAAGATTCCGTTGAAAGTTTTTCAGACACGGAATTAATTCATAAAAAACTTGTATATTTCCAATGAAAGTCATTTTGTACAATTTAGCAATATATTGATAACTTTCGATTTTCCTTACGCGAATAGCGAAATTCGAGAGTTTCGTCCACGATCACCGTTCTCCGCCGCCCGAGAAGCAGAAGAAAATCGGTTTCGGTCGCGAGCGAGGTTAACGGGCGAAGACGAAGGTCCCCTGATAAATCGATCCCGCGGCGATCGGATCGGCGGCTCGTCGCGCGTTAAGGCGACGCGTAATGCGGGATTACCACATCGGCCGGCCTTGGGCCATCCGAGTTTATACATATACGGAGCTATTGCTTGGACGCAGTGACGTCACTGGCCTCCTCCTGACTCACGGTGGACCACGAGGAATCGAGCACGAAAACCGCCGCGATCGCTCCTTTCCTCGGGGGCCATTGGAATCTAGGCTATCCCGTCTCCTGTCTCGCGATCCGCGCCGCGAGTAACCACCTACCACTCGCTCGCGAGGCTTTCAGCCGCTTATCTGTCTCCTGAACGATAGATTCACGCATCCCAGCAATTCGATACCGATTTTTCGGAGGAGACATCTTTCGCGAAACGTGGCGAAGACGTTACGAAGCAGCGAAAACGAATTAATATCAAAATAAATAGAAGTCAGCAAAAGCTTGAATGTTACTTAACCACTCGAGAATATTTTTCTCAACAGATGTTCATTATTTTCTGATAAGATATCAATGATACTTTTCAGAACTGACATAATATAATATATAATATAATATAATATTAAGTATTATATTATTATATATTATATTATACTTATATCAAATTGTATAGTACTGTATGAAATCAAATGGTGACTGAGAGCCACCTCTCGAGTGCAAAGGATCAATCATTCAAGATTCTGCTGCCTTTCCCAACATTTTCATGTTATTTCCCTATTTTTCTTGTTTCTCTCGTGTACCACTATTCTCCGACAAACGTCTCACAACAAATATTTCCTTACAAGCATTCCATAACGTACCATAAATGGTACACAGGACGTGTTAACCAGCGAAAACGAGTTAACCCGTCGCCTCACGGCTGTAACTCTTCCCCATCGAAAAGCGGGGAAGAAACGGAACACTGGTATCGATTTCGTTTTTTAATCGCGTTCAATCGTAACGGCGAGAATTAAAGGAAAGTTACGCGGCCGACAGGTTCGACAGGTTCCCGAGATTCCTGACTCACTGCTCGTATCAGGGTTCACAGAATTTCCACCATTGTTTCCATGTAACCTCAACGACGAGGTCACGGGACAGAGATAAAGCACGAAGGATCCCTGTATCGACCATCTGTCGCCGTAATAATCGATACGACGCAATCGATGCTTTATCACGGACGCTGATAAACGAGCCGCGAAACCCGTCGCCTTAATTCCTGAGTAAACGTTCACTTGTTAGCTGACTGATGACTTCTCACGCGGATAAAACGGAAAGCCATCAACAGTTTCCAGTGTTACGTACATCGAATATCGAATTCTCGAAGTTTCACCTCTAGTTTCATCAACGTCTCGCCTATAGTCTCTGAAATTGGCTTTCAACCGCAGGAAAGCTGTCTGACACGTTCAGTGCCATCGGAAATTTCGAAAGATACGATTTCTTATGAGTGTACCGATTTTTTCCATGAAATAACCCTTTGCGAACGAATGTCGACATTTCGACGAGATGAAATTTTCATATTTGGAAGTCTAAGTCGTAAACGAATGATTTAATTAGTGGAATCGCGAGAGATTACGTTCCCATTTTTCTATTCAAGTAATTGTTATATAATTTAGCTTAGCACGGAATCTTAAGAAATTCAGTTAACGGGTTAAATGTCGATGGGCGTCGGTGGAAGGTGTTCACGGCCGTGACTCACGGGACGTTTTTCACGGCGATTATTTCGTTCCGGCTGTTTGGGCATCGTTAGATCACCTTTCGGAATAGCGGGTCGTTATTAATTCGACTCGCCCTTGACCACGCGCAACGGCCGCAGAGAAAGAGGAGAGGGAGGCGAGTTAATGAGCGAGAGAAATGATTGTACGCCCACCAGCGACGATTCTCCGCTGGCTGCTTAATGTCATCGCTGAAAAAGTCGCGATAGCCGGACGTTTCTCAATCGAACTTCGATTTCAAGGATCAACGGACGGCTCAACTGCGACGACGAAACGGTGTTTCCGTTTCGATCCTTTATTCTTTTAACAAGCTCGACGCTAGACTCGCGGAACTCGTCGATTTCAAGGACGCTGAATTTCTTAAACATTATTTAGTAGCAGTTTCGGTTGATCTTCTTTCGTGCAATTATGAGTACGTGTTATATACTCTTTCGAATCTATCATTTCCGCGATCTATGGAAAAGAGCACATAGCTTTCTAGTCGATGGAACAAATTTTTAACAGAATTTAACAATCGTACATTTTACTCGATTCCTTTGAATCCAAAAATATTATTCTTCTATTATTTATTATACTTCAGAGTAAACATAGACATAGAATATGCTTAGGATTTTTTTCTTTTTCCAATAAATTATTGATAAAGTAGTTGTTTCATGGTTATGGAGTCATCAAGGTCACTTACCAACAGGTCCAAGCTAGATGCAATAAAATCATTCCATTGGACGCAGCAAGTAAAAGTGCAATCTGTTAACGGTTAACGCAACGTTTACAGAGGACGGTTAACAGAGCCAGTTACGTCGCGACGATGAACGCGACTACCATATTGCTCCATGATTAATCTCCGTTTCCATATAGAAACCGAGCGTTATGGATAACGATCGAAAACCGGAGATCGCGTGGGAGTAAACGATCCCCCGCGTTCACCGGCCAATTATAGGTGGGCCAGTAACGGGCACCGCTTGTTCCTCGGTAATTCCGTTGATCCGTGATCGTGATCGATCGAGGAGAGCCGAGGACCGTCGAGTTTCCCTTCCTTCCTTCGATCGTGAAGCATCCTTCGTCTCAGCGTGACAAGATCATTTTCATCAACTTCTCTGTCGATGCCACTTTCCATTTGTTTCTCGCGACACTTTGACCTTCAACGATGTGCTCGATTCCTTGTATGTAGCAAAAATCGTTTTACTTTTATCACTGTTATCGTAATAATAGCAATTAACGTTAAGTATCGTGCTAGCTCACTTCTATGAATCACTTTCTCGTTACCCATGTTACTATATTTCTTGGTAAGCTTAAAATACTTCCGGCTCGTTAAAGATTAACAAATAATATTCTGTCTAGTTATTAAAGGATTCGTTCCTTCGTTTGTCCTAAATCAGGAAGCTCTTTTATAGAATCTACTGTACAATCATTTCAAAACTCGAATCGTGAATTTCCTCGAAAACCGCATTGCGGGCGACACGCGCCTCTTCCGGTTCCGCGGGACTGTTCGCACCTGTCCGCGAAAACTTTGTACGCCGGTTCGACGAGAGTCTCTCCACGCGCCATTTTCTTCTGAATAGACACGTTGATCCTCGGTAAGAGCACAGCCGATTGGAAACGCGAGACTGTTCCTGGTCGAAGTGGTTTTCCACGAAATTCGCCGGAAAATTCATCCCCTGGATATTGCCGGCGCGAGGCGGATGTGCGAGCGTACACGCGAGCTTAGCGCAGCTTGTCAGGCGCCTCACGCGATCGTCTAGACTTCGGACGCAGCGATGCTACCCCTTGCTGCTGCAGACCGCCCTCGTAGAATTGAATTGTCTAGACTCGGTTAAAATATTCCGCCCGTCCGTTGCGTCCCTGTTATTTCCTGCGACCGAGAAAGAAATGGAACTGCCTCGCGTTCGGTGGAAATAGGAGAAGGATAGTTATTTACGGGGATCGTACGCTGGGATTAAGATCTTTACGGCGTTCGAAATATATTAGGGAGTTAGGGGTTGTTCAAGGTTTCGAGGGAAAAGACGCGTTTCTTGCCTTACAATATTCTGTTAAAGGCGAAGGTTTCTAATATGGTTTAACCCTTAGCACTCCAGATGATTTTGTAATCTATCAGTAACTAATTTTTATAGTAACTAGGGAAAATTAGAAATGCTATAACGTTTCTTCGAGCAACTCGAAAGTGTTGAAGAAGAAATTGTAGATCGAGTGTTGAACGGTTGCTCGTGTTCCAGGTACTAAGAAGATGGAGTACAAGACCAGACAGTGGCACGAGAAGTGCTTCTGCTGCGTGGTGTGCAAGAATCCGATCGGAACGAAGAGCTTCATCCCTCGCGAGCAGGAGATCTACTGCGCTGGATGCTACGAGGATAAGTTTGCCACGCGGTGTGTCAAGTGTAACAAGGTATTTCCCTCTCGCTCTATCAAACCTACCGATCGTCACCTCTCGAGCGCAAACGGTTAACAATCGTATTCCTCGTAGATCATCACTAGCGGCGGCGTGACGTACAAGAACGAGCCGTGGCACAGAGACTGCTTCACCTGCAGCAACTGCAACAATTCCCTGGCTGGCCAGCGATTCACCTCTCGCGACGACAAGCCGTACTGCGCCGACTGCTTCGGCGAGCTGTTCGCCAAGAGATGCACCGCCTGCTCGAAACCGATTACTGGTGAGTAAACTACCATCAGTAATCTACGATCTCATCGTTCATCGTGGAACATGACAAAAAAAAAAGAAAGAGCTGTTATAAAGACTCTCGTTTGATCGTTCCTCAGGCATCGGTGGCACTCGTTTCATCTCCTTCGAGGACAGGCATTGGCACAACGACTGCTTCATCTGCGCGGGCTGCAAAACCTCGCTGGTCGGACGTGGTTTCATCACCGACAACGAGGACATCATCTGTCCCGAGTGCGCCAAGATGAAGCTGATGTAAGGGGAAGAGAAGCGGGAGCTACAAGAACGACCGAGAAGGGCAGACAGAGCGAGGACCGATCGAGATCTGTCTGGTCCTCGCGTGAAACGCGAACCGAATCAGCAACCCTCGCCCCACGATCATCCCCCGGCTACCCTGGACCGAGAACCACGCTCCTGTCTCTGCAACGAGACGAAGAAACCACGATCGAATACGAACCTCGAAGTCCCTTCGTTTGAATTGTTCAGCGTTCTCGAGGCCGGGGAGCAACGACGATGGAAATTACCGTGTTTCCCACCCTCTAACCCTCGATTATGTTTTCAAGAAGTATATACGTGTTATATATATGTCATATATATATAATACAGGCGTCTCTGTAAAAGCCACAGCCGGGAAACGCGGTAGTTTCCATCGAAACCGAACCCTCTAGGACGATCCACCCGTGTCGATTCGTCCCGCCGAGTTCTCGCGCTGGTTCCCTCTGAGTCGAGTCGGAGAACGGGCACGGGAGCAACCTCCTAGCTTTCTTGATAGCTCTAGAGAGACCGTAGTCGTTCGCGGCCCTCGTTTTCTCTCGATCGACGAACGATCAACGCGACGCGAAGCGGAGAAACGGGGACCGCGGCTGGAAAGATTATCCGAGAATCAAACCGTCTTTAATAAGTAAATATCACTGTCGTCGAGTTGTTGCGCTGTGTTTAATTAGAGGAAGAACGGAGCTACCGTATTTGTCGTAATTGTTAACTATTAACGTTATTGTTTCCCCCATTCTCTCTTTTCTTTTCTCTGATTTCCTTTCGCTTTGTACAATGGTAGGGGAAGCGAGAGAGGCCGAGAACACGCGCACGGCGTGGGAACGGTCGCGAAAAGCCGACGCGAGGGAAGCGAACGATGAGTCCTATATATTCTTATGGAAAATGAAACTAAATTTGATATACGTATGATAATAATGTTATTTTTATTTAACTTAAACTCACACGCGCGCCCGGGGCCGCGAGCGCACCGCGCGCGGATAGATACATGTATACACTGTTTCGCATATTATTACCACGGATGCGCGCGTCGTTCGCGCGACGCGACATCCCGCGTCATTCTCTCGGCGATGATGTACTCGCACGACTCGCGCCGCGAGCGTGCAGACTTAATAAACGATTAACTGGGAGTGAGGACTCGTGTGGACAGTTTCTGCGATTCTATTACCCGTTCTCGCGTCGCCGAGCTTTCCGTGAAAGCTTTCCGTGATTCCTTCGAACCGATCGCGTTCGAGGGGCCAGGCTATTTTTCCGAACTCGAACATCCGGCGGACCAGGGAAATCCAAAGACGCGTACGCTTCATTCGAATCCTGTCGGGAGAGGAATCGCGACTCTGCACACGAATCCGACGTTAACGTTTCGAACAGCGGTAGAGAACAGAGGCGAGGAGGATCCCACGCACCCGCACACGCATACCGAACGCGTGTGTGCACACGCACACGCGGAAACACTATTTGTGGCCTTATCCGCACGAGTACACAGGGAATAACCGGTGTCCTCGCGACGCGACGACCGTTGCGCTCTCGGTACTCGATAGAGATTTTATTATTATATTGTCGACGCGGAACGGAACGATGGCGCGCGGGAATAAGAGCAAACCCCACGATGTGTCGAGAGAGAGAGAGAGGGAGAGAGAGGAATAGAGAGCGAAAACCGCAATCGTTCGACGCGAACAATAAAACTACCGTGATCACTGATGACCAATAAATTACACGTGCTATATTATGTATGTTCTTACCGATCACTCACATACTAATCGCCTTAATTAGTAAACGATAAAGAGCAGAGATTATTCTATATTCAGCGTATCGTATACACTGTTATTCTGTAAAATTGATAAATAAATAAATGTAATTATTTATGCAGTCGTCTCATTGCTACGTGAACCTACTTCATATGAGATCTTACTTTTATTTACAATTTACTCGGTTTTACGCGGCGACGCACTCGTCTGTCTTCTCTGCTTCCAAGACATATTTCAAACTTTGACAGAACCAAAACTAATATTTCTCTTTATTAAGATATTCAAATTCGGCATCCATTCATAAACCGAGGAAATTCAATATTTTATAATATATTCATATAATACAGAAAGGATTCATGAAAAACTGAAAGTCTATGGCTTGGGAAAGCTATGTATCTATATACGAATAATTAACGTAACGATGGTTGCATCAATCAGGGGCACAATACCCGCAATGAGTAAGACAAGGATAGTACGTGCGTGCGACAAGGATAGAAGATTTTGGTGGCGGGCGACAGTAGCGCCATCTAGCGGACGGGCGTTTTCGAAGCTTTTCCCTATACCCGCAATGAGTGCGACAAGGACAGAGCTAGTGTGCGACAAGGACAGAGATAGTCTCACTCTAGCCACCTCCTACGAAAAAGCATCTCATCAGTCCCTGGTACCTACTCGTGAAGCATCAGGACTAAGGAGGTAACCGAAAGTGAGCCATCTAGCGGCGATAGTTAAGAACTAAATGCGACATGTCGACGGAGAAGAAACAAATAAAGCAGCGAATTTATTAATAACTCGACTACTACGAATAAATTGTTAACGTTTGTAATTTAAGATTGTAGAATGGACCTTCCCCTACTTTCTTATGTCACTATCGATAGGATTTTGTACCGCGTTAATTATATATTAATTATTATTCGGGACGACGTCATGGTTTAGCCTTAATGGAAA